GGAAATTTACAGGAGTAGGCCCTTTGGTATCGGTTAAAATATGATTTTGTGAAAAAACTCACTTCCATTTTAGCCTCATTTTTTTTTTCTTAAAAAGGAAAGGAGAAGAGAGATGTAAAAATTGTCCTCAACTTCTTATTCTCACATAATTCAGAAGAAACAGGTATGTGTGTGTGTGTGAGTGTGTGNGAGAGAGAGAGAGAGAGAGAGAGAGAGAGATACCTTAGAAGCATTGAGACTGACCCGTGACCAGCGAGAAACAGCAGTTTCATGTTTATTGAAATTGAAGAAGGAAACAGTACTGTAATTTAGGCGAGCAAAGTCGATCGCTTGCCACCTTAAACATTACAAGAAAAATATTTAGAGAAAGAGATAGCATGAATCAGAGAGAAAGGAGAGAAACAGCAAAGAAATGGAGAAACACTGGTTAGAAGGAATACAGAAACAGAGGTGAAGGAGAGGGAGGTTGCAGATGCACCTGGAGAGAGAAGTACCATATGCTTTTACAGTGGAGAGAGAGAAGTACCATATACTTTTACAGTGGAGAGAGAGAGAACGGAATGAAGCACAGGGGAAGGAGTGAGAAGCAGAGTGCGAGAGCTGAAACAGAGAACAGGGGGATGAGAGAGAACAATAAAAAATATAGAGAGAGAGCCAGGACTTGAAGCAGTAGTGGAGTAGGAAAGTATTAGAGAGAGAGAGAGAGAGAGAGAGAGCAGTGAAAGACCTGGAGAGAGATCAAGGACATGAAATGAGGAACAAGAGAGAAATGGCGATGAAAGGAGAAGATATGAAGTACCAGAGAGATCGAGGAGAGAGAAAGCACTGTACAGAGAGCAGGGAGAGGATGGGGTAAGAGAAAATAAGAAGTAAATAGAGGAGAGAGAAAGTACCACAGAGACAGCAAGGAGAGGATGAGGGGAGAGAAAGTACCTGAAAGAAAATGCAAGAAAAGAGAGAAAATACCAGAGCTCTTCGGCCACAACAGCAGAGTCAGCAAGCCTACGCCTTGTTCGATAGCTCTTATACACCTTCTGCAACTTCACAGCTGCTTCATTGGTTTTCTCCCCTGAGCCCTGCTCCATTGTTTCAGAGACCTCAGCTGCTGGAGACTTTAGGGTAAATTGCGAGCACCCCAAGTGGAGATCATGTGGAGCAGGAAGCGTAACAGTGCCGACCTCCATTAACACCTGTTTTAGAGAGAGAAACAGTGGTTCTAGAGAGAGAAAGCTCGTCCTGTATTACAGAGGCGAAGGGGCAGCTCAGTCCTTTTCCTGTTTTGCAGAGCCGGAGGAGGAGGTGAACCTACCCTGTTGTTTAGAGAGAGAAATGGACAACACAGATTTTTATGGTGGTTTAGAGAGAGAGAGAGTTTTAGAGAGAGAAAATGTGGGCCCCAAGGGCCCCTGTATTGGAGCTCGATCAACCCTGTTTTAGAGAGAGAAAGGGAGAGGTAACTCTCACTCGTTCTAGAGAGAGAAACTCAGACAAGGCCGACGGATAAAGAAACAGTCAATCATATTTATTTTTGAGAGAGAGTGAGAGACATTGCTCTGCTTATTATAGTGCTTTAGACACAGACGGATGGTTCCAGTGGCTGACTCACAGTGGGGTTTTGGGGCATTAAAATTTTTTATTTTATTTATAAAATCTTATTATTGGTATTATTAAATTACAATTATTACATGGAGTTTTTTGTCCTTATAATTTGTGGTTTTATTCGTACTATATTTAATTCAAGAATTAGGATCCCACCAGCCTTATATACACAAAATTAGACATTTATGCTATTTATAATCTTATATTATTTTTAGAAAAATACTATTGGTAGTTATGCATTTCACTTGTTAGATGGAGCTTTTTGTCCTTGTATTTTGTGGTTTTATTCTCTATATATTTAATTCGAGTATTAAAATCCCACCTCTTTCATGATCGCAATAGTATGTGATACATTTTATATTTGTTAGTGTACTAAAATTTCATTGGTTATAGAAAAAGAATAAGTTGTTGTGGAGCTGCGGTTTTCTAAACAGGCAGCTAAGATGCCCCGATCTTGTTGGAAACTACTGCCGAAATGTTGTCATATTTATTATCTCAACTTTGATGATTATGGATTAAAAAAAAAAAAGATTTTAAACTTTAAAAATAGCATACATTGCATATTATTTGAATCATCATTTTCTAAATATTCATAAATTTTCCTAAATTTGCACAAGTTTTGAAGTTTCGGACTTTGTAGCAAACAAGATTTTCAAGCCATCATAAGAATTTATTGATTCCATAGCTGCAATTTTTAGCACAATTATGAGGTACACCTCTCTATTATCATAATAAGGCAGCCTCACACCCTTCATAATTCTTTCAAACACAAACACACGAGAAAAAATTTATATAAGTTTTCAACCTTATACTATTGAAGTAAGGTCCACCAGAAACAAACATTTACCCCAACTAAGTGAGGTTTGTATAAACTTTATGTTGCCACCCCCAACAATCTAATATTAATTATAAAATATTTCCTTTTTAATGAAATTAAAGCCTGTCATATGGGCCCATTAACTACTTACTCTCTAATTATAATGTCAAAATTGTTAGACTTGTGGGTTTGATCCACCCTTGCCTTTTCTTTAGCCCATCAAAGTGGTAGTGAGTGAGAGAGAGGAGAGAGAGAAAGTGATAATGTGAGGCTTTGCATTTATGCAGGAGAGAGAAAGGGTCTTCATGTAGCTAAAAATGGCACATTTTTGACTTTAATCCCAAAGTAGAGAGAGAGATGGAGACTTCTTCAATATAGCGCCACATAATAAGACTTCAATGAACGGTTCTAAAGTTTAAATGGGGTGGTAATGGGCCGGCGTCCGGCACGGCCGGTCATCCTGGCCCTAAAAAACTAGAGCCTAGGTCATAAAATGTGACCCGAACAATGAGCAAAGGCTAAGCAACCACAGCCTAAAGGTAGGGCCCAGGCCTTTTTGGCCAGGTCTAAGACCAGGCCGGCCTAGGCCCATTGCCACCTAGACTAAACTTGCTCATGCCTGTAAGTGTGAGGGGTTAGAGATTGCTACTACAAATATTTGATCACTATTTATTATTGTTTCACAATTTTTTTTATTTGTTGTGGTAGTTCTAACTCTTTCATACCAACAAACCGACGTTGTTTTTCTGAGTAGTGTTCTTTAATGATAAAGTACATCATAATTTTTAGCCCAACATTATTTATTTTAAACAATGTCTTTTCAATGACAAAGCATATCACAAAAATTAGTTGTTTTTGGTGAGGTGGGAACCATTCTTAGTCATTAAATATGAAATCTATTGGCAATTGGGAGTGTCCTTGAGCTCAAAATTTTAATTTTTTAAATTTTTTTTATAAAGTATGAAAAATTATTCAATCTAATATTTGACAGTTAAGAATACTTATAATCACTTATACCTAATATTGTAATGTACATATTCTTCTAAATTAGGGTGTGGTTTCTATAAGGTTGCGACCTTAAACAATCCAAATAAAGTTGTCAAAAAAATCTTAGGATGGCTTTGTAATTTATTTTTATCTCTACTAATCAATTTTTAAATTTAAAAAATGATTCAAATCAAGTATATTTATAAACGAATAAAATTTTTAAAAACAGACCATCTTGATAATGTGTTACAAGATGCGATAATATGTTGCACGATGAACTATTTTTTAAACTCGAAATCTTTATTTTTTCATATAACATAAATTTCAACGTCGATACGATCAATTAGAGCCAGTATCAAAACAATATTTTTTTAATAAATTTTGAGGTACAGCTTCTTATTTTCATCTTTTAAGGTTGCAATCCAATATAAACTTTTTCCTTTAAATTATCTTTTACCTCCTAGTTTTGTGTGCTGGGCGTTGAATAAAGAGGTCAGTATGTCATCAGTGGACGGACCTCGGGAATTTTGGACATTACGTCAACCACGTGGTACTTCTTTAGTATTTAATTTCGACCTTTTGTTTTATTCAAAATTGACGAAGTTACGTAGAATATTCTTACTAACGCAGCGGTAAATTGTGTTAAACGAGGACTATTGACCTTTATATTAAGTAAGCCAAAAATACTAGGCAAATTATTTAGCCAACATTTTTTATCTGTCTCCCTCTATATATGTATATAGCAGGACACGTGTGGCAATGGACCGGGACCCGACCCAAATCCGAGTATGGGTTTCAGAATTGGACTCGACTGATCGGGTTAGGGTCTGAATAATGGACCAAACAGTAGTGGGGTATGGGTTTGGGTACATAAATTTTTTCTGGTTTGATTGGACCGGACTCGAGTCATTGCCTCCCTTGCCAGTAGATTTTTTTTAGTGGTGTAGACACCCTAGCGGCTGGGCCAATGGGTCCTAGCCCAATTCTAATCTTGGCCCTGTTTGGGCAAGGCCTCATAGACCTTGAAAAGAAAAATAAAAAACTAAGGGGGAAAAAGGACGCCTTGTAGGGATGCCCCGGCTGGCCCTCCCTTTTTGTGGCCCATGCCCAAAGAGCCACCTTGGCCTTCTCTCGAGCCATAATTTGTAGCACAAACCTTAATTTTTCAAGGCTAGGCCGATTAGGCTGGATCATTGCTAGCCTTAAAAACAAATTGTCTTACTTAATATTCAATGTAGTATTTAATATATCACCCGAAAGCAATGTTTGCTTCGGAGACTTCTTCGTTCTGATGAGAAAAATGAAGTAATTCGGTGCTTTGGCCAATTCGGGACAAGACTTATTTTTTTTAAAATTGAATATAAATAAATTAAATATTTATATATAAAAATATAAAATATTAAAAATACTTTTATATAAGCATTTCTTTTATGATCGAAACATACCTGAATTTGATTGAAACAGCCCAAAGCAGTATGAATTTGACCAAAGTGGTGGCACCTGGCTTCTCCTCGCTTCAGTTAATGCCTAAAATCCGAAGGCATTGATCTCTTCGGCTGAAGCAAAGCGAATTTGACAACATGGCCCAAAAGTCCACCTCTCTTTTTCTTTTCATCGAGCAATATAAGGACATGTAGTATTTGAACGGTCAAACACTTCTCACAATTATATATGTATTTGTGGGTGCAGTTTGTATAGAGCCTAGGTTCTAAACAATCAAATTAGAGCCTACTTTCAAATAGTATCGAAAAATGTGGTTTCACTACTAAAAATCTTTGTGATAGCCTTAAAATATATTTTCATATTTATTTATAAAGTTCAAAGCTTCAAAAATAGCGTAGATTGACAGATCTATGAAAACTTGAAAATCTTTAAAATTGACGGTCTAAAAATGCATTACAAAATACACTATTTCCAAAACTTGAAATCCATTTTTTTCTATTGTCCATGCATCTTGATGTCAAGATGATCAATTTGAAGATATTTGAGAATCAAATCAACCTCTTCTAGTTAACTTTTTGAGGTAGGGTCAAATTCGATTTGTTAGAGCCTCGGCTCTATACAAACTTTTCCCATTAGATATTGACACACATACATATTTATATAAGAGATTGTCTACAAATAGGACATTTATCTTTTGTATATAGATGTCACAATCATTCACACTCATTAGATGGCGCATTGGATAGCTCATTCTCATCACATTCTTTCAATTTTTAACTTACATTCTCACTATCTTGCTCGATTATGAGAAATCAGATCTACAAAATAACAAACTAGTCCAACAAAAATTAAGCATTCATGCATACCCACATAGCCAAGTAGCCAAATATTTTTTTATTTTATTTTATAATGTTCCAAAATTTTATTGCTAAATAAAAAAATTACAATCATCGAATCATAATAGAAAAATTATATCATTAGATACCACCAAAGAAGAGAGTGAAGTGCCCTTCTTGGCTTGAGCATCCGCCAATTCATTGGCTTCTCTGTAGACATAAAAAAAAAACTCTCAATAAACTTGCCAAATCTATAATGTGCAACCAACACTTACATAATTGTCATGGTACCCTCTGCTCCTTATATCAATTAATGATATTTAGATAGTCACCCTCCACCACACATAAATGACCCACCAATTTTTCTCTTATAAGTTTCAAACCTTGCAACAAAGAGGTCATTTCATATAATTATTACATTTCCTAAACAAATCCCTTGTCCTTAAAATATGACTAAATATTTATATAGTTATTATGATAAGAAAATAATAATATAGGATTGTCTAATTTTAATACAAAGAGGTCACAATTAGTTTTAGACAATAAATATAATATCAAATAGATTGGGATGTGCCATTGACCAGGCTTGAAGCTTAGATAAAATTTTCTTACTTATTATAGACCCCAAACTGTTGGATTTCGCATATGACCACTCGAGATAATTGATTTTCTTCTTACAATAAATATTGGACCATATGGTATACAATAACAGCTATAGATTTTCTTAATAAGATGCAATGAGGCCTAGACTTCCGTACTTGTTTGCATTATAAGGACGTCAGTCCCAAGGAAAAAGTTTATATAAGGTATCAACCTTACCATACTCGAGATGTA